ACATCCCCTAGTAATTAGTAATTTCAGTTTTGTGCTCAAAAACCAAGGATTTGTCATCATCAAGAATGTCAATTCCCTTATTTTGTTTCTCCATATACCACAAATGAGTAAGACTGCCTCCCGACTTCCTGAAGGTCCATCTAAGTTTTAGCAAACTACAAGATTATACATTTCTTATAGTTGCGTAGGAATTCATTGTATATATACCCCACAACTTATTCACTCATCTGTCCTTGGACATTTTGTGTTGTTTTCATATCATGGCCAGTAAAATGCTACAGTAAACATGGGTATACATACATCTTTTCAAGTTAATGTTTTTGTGTTTCGGGTCAAGTGCCAGGGTGTGAAACCAATAAAGGCAGAGTTCTATGGAAACTCTAGTCTTACTGTCCTTGAAAAGTCTCCATACTTTTTTTCATGCAAACTGAACCAGATGACATGCCCACTAATCATGAATGTTATCACATATTCTCAGCAGATGGATTTTTCTAGTCTTTTTGATGAAAATTATAAATACTATCTGGCAGTTTTACATGCAGACTTGACCAAGCCATATGGTTTACTGCCATTCAGCTAAAAATTCTTCTGGGTATGTCTGCAGTGGATTTCCTGCATGGGCTTCATATCTGAATTGTTGGAATGAGAAACACAAGCTGTCTTAAATGGATGGGCTCTTCCCATCAGCTGACTGTTTAAACAGCACAGAAAGGATGATCCTTCCCCGAATAAGTTGGAAATCCTCTAGCCTAAAAGCATCTGAGATCAGTGACTGGATCTTTTTCCTTGCCTCGGGAAGAAGTGTTCTTGGGATATGCTCCTTCTGCTCCAGTCTGCTGGCCATCACACTGGAGCTACACAAAGAGCTTCTTTAGATTTCTAGCTTATGGATTAGTGAGCTTGACTAGCAAGCTTGGCTTGTCAAATTCCAGGATTCTATCTAAAGTCCTTATAATAAATCTTTTTAATATTATAGATAATTGTCCATCTATCCATACACTTATCCATATATTGGTTCTGCTTCTTTGGATAATCCTAATCTAGAGGATGTTATAACTAGGCATTATTGTCTGTCACTGTTGTCTGTAAACATTTTAGTTGGTCACTAGCTCAGCTAAGAAAAAAATGAAAGAACTGAGAGAAAGGTTAAGAGCCTAAGACCTTTCTAAGTCTTGAGGACTTCTTTTAAGATCACTGTGTGTTCTTCTTGGGGAAATTGCACACAAAAGGAAGAGGAAAGAGCCAAAAGAGAGAGCGAGACTGCAAATAGGCTCTGACTACTTGACAATGCTGTCTGGTGTTTTTCCTCCTCTTATTAAAGTCATTTTTTCTTGAGTCATTTTATCCAGGGACATTGGCAGTATTTGATTGTTACATAATCACAGATTACAGTACTAATGCCAACACTTCATTCTTTTCAAAAGCTTAAATCACATTATGGAATACTAAACTTAAAAGGCAGTGCAGTGAAATGAAAGTAGGAGTGGGAAGTTTGTAGCACAGAAAGATTGAGCAATATTATTATAAAAGGGGAGGTGGGAAAACTCACAGAATTAAATGTGTAAAAGACCTGAAAACAGATAAGAGGAACAGCTAGAGATAGGATTAAAGAACAAATACATGAAACTAAACAGTATTTCTTTATATGTTGGTAAGGTTTATAGACTTATCAATATCTGATATTTATATACACATATATTCACTGGAGCTATAAAACATTCAAGTTAGCTACAATGATAAATTTAATTTAATATCTCCTGTGTATAAACCACTACATCTGAGGTAATAATTGCCTCATCTTTCATGAATTTTTAAGACACACAAATTACATGACCACAGTAGCACAATGAAGAATCAATTACATTAATAGAATTTCCTCTTTTAAAATACAGACTTTATCTAAGTTGTAAAAATTCTGAATAACATTGGACTGTGTTTCCCCCACAAAGATAATTCTTGTAACTGCCAGCATTTGGTAAACAATATAAATAAACAATAAAACAGTGCAAATAAAAAGTCAGTGGGGAAGAAGGCAACACAACAAGAAAAGAATCAGGACATCTGAGGACTAAATTGAAAAGGAGTCTGGGTTCCTGGGATACCCCAAAAAGAAAGTACAGTGGCAGATGAGCAATTCTTGTACACAAAGATCATTGTCACAGTGAATTCCCTAATTGAAAGACAGTCGTGTAATAGGCTGGCCTATGAAGTGTCCCATTACCAAAGAGTTGGTAGGAACTTGGTAAAAAGACTTGGTAGGAACTTCCCTCAGAATCAGAGCAGGTCACATATGACTAAGGTCCTAGAAAGAATGTCTGTGGAGAGCTGAAGGAGGTAATCTAAGAAGTCTTAAGTTCTTTGCAAGGACACTAAAGGAATGCGAAAACAGCTCTCTACATATTCCTGTTATAATTAAACCCTAGCATCTGTGAAACGACTTTGAAAGGATCTATGAGCTAAAAGAATGAATAAGAGAAAACGTACAAATGTGTGTATTCCTTTGTAGAACAGTGGGGAAAACAGACATAAGGAAGGAGTAAGAGAGCCAGAGACATAGTATTGGGATTAAGGCACATCTCCTGTACCATATCATATGGTACTCAGAGCATCTCAGGGTATATTCATAGAGGCCTATGCATGACTGGTGTGGACTTTGAGGCCCCTGAGCATGGTCAGAGTGCCCTGGAACTCCATTGGTACTGCAGGGATCAAACAGAACCACAACTTTGGACCCTCACATTAAACTGCTGGCCCAGTTCAGAGAGGTCCCCGCTACACGCTTCCCAACAAAAAAGGTGAGGGTGGTGAGAATAAGCATATAACAGAGATGGCCTAGAGAAAAAATAGAAGAAATGGAAATGTGAAAAGGGAAAAAAGCAAAAATCCAATACCTTTTCTTTCCACAGGTAAGAAATTTTTTAAAATTTTTTAAAAATTATTTCTGTTCATTTACATAAAAATCAAACAATAAAAATTATTATTTTTGTTTTGTGAGCTATACTTGGTGGTGCTCTGCTCTTACTCCTGCCTTTGCTCTCAGATAACAGGAATGGGGATTATGGCTATAACCTATGGGTTACCAAGTTGCCTTTGCAAGACACCATCATGTTTCAATAAAATAAGAGACAAGATGGAGGCTAATTAATTCTAAAGGATGAAAGCATAAAGTGTGGTAACTTGAACACCCTAATAAGAATCTACTATTTTCTCACAAATTACGCTCAAAAATTTCAGGATTGAGATGTGTTAGGAGTGGGTCTTCAGCACTTCGGTGGTGGTGAAGGTACAGTAATTGCGTACATCAAAACCACAAATTCTAACACTATTGTGACTATATAATAACAAAAAATAATATAAAAGCTACAAGATAGTACAGTAGTTAGGCAAGCATGCTAGCATGCTGGACAAGTGCATGATTTGCTTCAATTCCCAGTACCAGATGGTCTCCTAAGTCTTGCTGGGTGTAGCCTGGGAGGTCCCCAGAGTACTACCAGTGTGGCTCTGGAGGTCCCAGTACCATCTGGGTGGCCCAAGAATCCCTGGAACTTCAGAGTCTGAGCAACACCACTTCTTTTGACCTTACAATGAACATTCTCAGTCTGGCTCGATGAAAATCACCAGTAGAACTCCTGGGCCTCATTAAGATCACTTGGGAGACATCATCCTCATCCTCATTATTTTTTAGTTGCCTTGTTAGAGGTTGCGTCTGAACTTAAACAAAGATTAAGCCAGAAGTTAATTTTTAGCTAAGAATCAATTAACTCCTTTAGTATGTAGAACATAACTTTTGGACATAGCTATTGACACGAACAGGTCATGAACTAGAATTCCAGGGAGTAAGAAATGTGCAACTAATACATTCCCAACTAAGGCCAACTATGCTCTGTGCACTCTGGCATGTGTGGCCAGTCTGAAGCAAACTGGATGACCCTGGATCAGTGGCCACACAGTCCCAGCTAATGAACCAGACTATTTGACTTGAGGCATGGTTACTGAAATTACCGTGCTGTGTAGAAGCAACAGCTGCTCTTTTCCTTCACAATGATGGTAGTTTAGGGTGTGTCTTGTGAAAGCACCTAACAGGCCTTTGTGTTTGTATGAGTTTCACAATATGTACTATGAAAGCAGCAGAGCTTGTAGAGTCTGCCCTGGAGTGTGAAGGCGGAATGCCAAGTTGTGTTCTCTGCCTGAGATGAGATCAGCAAAGCAGGGCAAAACCTTTCTTCTAGTAAATCAAGACCCTCCTGCCCTAGGAGTCTAGGCTTCAAGGTGTGGAGGAATGTGGGACTCTCTCTGCTGTCCAGTTTCTAATTCTACAAGAAGCTTTCCCCAGCTCTTCCCTCCTACAGTGTAAAAGCCCTTAGCAAAGTATTCCAGGGTTATTGCATGCTTCAAGCCAGAGTCTTGAAAAACAAATTTATATTCACCATGAGCAAGGCATTCTCTTTGTCTCTAATACAGATACTTACAAAAACTACAAAAATCTAATTATGTTTAAATGCAGAGCTCTCCTTTCTTCTGCTGAGGTCTATTCTTCAGAGAACACAACTTAATAAACTCAGTGGTTTTATTTTTTGATTGACTTTTTAATTATATAAAAATAAGTCATTTCAAAGTATTTGTTGTGCTAAGTTTTAGCTTCAAACAAGCAAGGCTCTGAAAAGGCAGCTGGCACCTGATCCCATGACCTCTATGGAATTCCACTGAGCATGCAAGAGATTTATTGTTTTCATATTATTGTGACGATAGAAAATAATTACTGTTTTTAAAACAAATTATCATTGATGCTTAAGCTGCATAACCGTTCATATTATCAGTCTAATCAACAGGTAATAGGCAATTGTATTAAAAAAAAATCCCAGAATAAGGAATCATCTTGCAATTTGTGAAATTTTATTTAAAATGTAAGACAACACAATTATACTACAGGGCTTATAACAAACAATAAATGCTCAGGATCTGGAAAAAAGCAATAGTTTAACAGAGATTACTGAACATACCTGTACTAGTTCTGCCTTTAATTCTTCTTTTTCCTCCTCAGAGAGAGTGTTAGAGAAGTCAGCACTGGCTACTGAATCTTCATCTCTTCCTTGCAGTGTATCAGTCTCCAACAAACCTTCAGACAAGATTATAAAACAATAAAAAAAAATGTTAAGTGCAATTTGTCGCCATCACTTGGAGAAATAGTAGCACTGTCTGACCTTCCCAAGAAACAACTGAAAATTATCGGCAGAGAAGCAACCTGAAAGATCGTACAACAGGAAAATGCTTGCCTGGCACACAACTAATCAGGCTCCTTCCTTGGTACCACATATGGTCCCTCAAGCCCCACCAGGAATGGTCCCTGAGGAAGGTTTAAGCCCTGAGCACTGCTAAGTGTGGCCCCAAAACAAACAAAAAAACTCCAAAGGAAATTTTGTTCTAAATATGAGATGAGTTGCCAAGCAAGTCAAGAATGTTAAGAAGTTGGTTCGATTCCCAGCATCCCATATGGTCCTCTGACCACAGCCAGATGCATAAGTTCTCTGAATGACCCAGTTACTCCTGAGTGCAAAGCCAGGAGCAACCCCTGAATGTTAAGAACTAAATAAATCTAAGGGAAGGAAGGAAGTAGAGATGAACACTGAACAGCTTTTTGTTAATTCTACATTTGTCACCCAGGTTAATTTAGCTTTTGTTTTCACTGTCCAAGTACAGAAGGCAGCAAAGAACTACCCATGGAGAGGTGGTGGGGTAAGATCCCCACATAAATTTGCATCTCCACAGGACTACATCATGAGACTAAGGTGAACTGAAAACAAATATTTTTACCTAGTACCGGGAGCCTCAAGACAATTTACCTTCAACTCAACAATGAATGAGCGATAAAAGATCCTCAGAGCATTAAACCCCAACTGGAACTGTGAATAAGCTTAAGCTTGAACAACAATTACCATGGTCCAAAACTATCTTGAGCAAAGATTTTTCAGTATTAAGACCTTGTCCATTTCAGCTATGATTCAGCTACGAATATATAGGAATATAGAACTGTGAAGAAATATGGATGAACTAATTGTGGCTGAGGGAAAGATGAAAAGTGCCCAATCCCCTGAGATACTATTGTGTCACTGCATAACCTTGAAATAATTCAACTTCTAACTCCTTATGGGTGATACATGATAAATGTCTTATTATAAAACACAATGAAGCTGCCTCCAAGAACCCCTGGGCTTCTGGTTAACTCAGATGCATAAGTTCTCTGAATGACCCAGTCAAGAGACCCACATTCTATCGAAACTTCATTTATAATATCAACCATAGCAATCTGGTGCTTAGGCATTTCTGGGCAAAGGAAGATATACATATTCATATATTTAATTTACTGAGGTATTGTAGTTTACAGCACTGTTAATGACAGTATGCTGATGTACACCCGTTTTGGGGGCTGTATTTGTTTACTTTTTTTGGTTTGGGGGCCACAGTGCTCAGGGATTACTCCTGACTCTGAGCTGAGAGATCACTCCTGGTGGGGCTCAGACCCGGGTGATGTTGGGATCAGACCCAGGTTAACTCTGCATGCAATGCAAACACCTTCCCAGAATTACTATCACTCAAGCCCCTTAATGCACATCATTTTAACACCATGTCCATCTCCCAGGATATAAAGGAGGTCTTTTAAACTGTTCCCAAACAAGTTTATACATGTTGGGGAAAAAAAAAACCTGGATACCTTTGCCATTCACAAAAATATAATTATAAATATATTAGTATTTTCTGTTTATCAACCTCTGAATAAGAAGCACTTTTTTTTTCTTTTTTGTTTTTGGGCCATACCCAATAGTGCTCAGGGCTTATTACTGGCTTTGTGCTCAGAAATCCCTATTTGCAGGGCTCAAGGGGCCATATACAGTGCTGGAGTTCAAATCAATGGTGGTCATATATAAGACAAGTGCTTTGACCATTGTATTATCCTTCCTGACCAACGAAGAGATTTCTTAAACAAGACGTGAGAAAGGGCGAACCATGAAAGAAAATATGTGTAAGACTGAAATATAAAACGACACTGCCATACATAGCCATGTTGCCAAACCCCTAGTCAAGCCAGGCTGTTTCATTCAGGGAACCTTCAGGGGGGAGAGGGAGGCCCCTCCCCGCCCCAAGGGTACCAGCCTGGGCAGCCAAAAACCTCCAGAATTCAACTGCCGCCCTGCTCACAGCTGCTTTCCACATGCTCGGGCTGAACCTCACCCACAAGTGAGCCTACTCCTGGATATCTCATACCTCACACTACTCATACACCAACAGTAGTGTGCCACATTTGATGGGGTTTAAAGTAGAGGGCAGTCAATCTTCGAGGGAAATATAATTTTACAGATATTCACTGTAGCACTGTCCTCCCGTTGTTCATCGATTTGCTCAAGCCAGAACCAGTAACTTCTTCATTGTGAGACTTGTTGTTACTGTGTTTGGCATATAGAATACGACATGGTTACCTTTCCAGTCTTTGCCATGCGGGCGAGATACTCTCGGTAGCTTGCCGTGCTCTCTGAGAGGGGTGGAGGAATCGAACCCAGGTCGCCAACCGGCCATGTGCAAGGCAAATGCCCTACTTGCTGAGCTATTGCTCCAGCCCACAGATATACAAATATTACATATATATGTATGTATATACATTTATATGTATGTGTGTGTGTATATATATGTGTATATATATATATATATATATATATGCACACAAGGTTCAATCCTTAACGGCATTTTAGTGATCTCTTATGGAGGGGCTTGATGGCCCCTGGGTGAGATACAGCAGTCTTTACACACTCTCCTAGGAGCATTTTCATTGGTTTGATCACTTGATCACTTGACTTCCCATTAATCATCTATTTGCTCGAGCAGGCTCCAGTAATGTCTCCACTTGTCCCTGTCACGTGCTAGTGTAGCCCAATGGCGTCTGTTCGTTCTAGGAACACGAAGAGCCTCAAACCGATCATTCAGGATCTTGATGAAGAAGTCTGACCATCTGGTAGGTGGGCGGCCACGCGGTCTTTTGACATCCCGTGACATCCCAGTCGGTAATGGCTCTAGTCCAGCAGTCTTCTCCAAATCTCATTACGTGTCCAGCCCATCTGATTTTTGATGCCTTGGCAAATGAGACAGCGTCCCTGATTCTTGACCATCGACAGAAGTCGGAATTCCGGATTCTTTCTCTCATTTGAGTGAAACGTGATACTCCAAGCATAGCTCTTTCGATTCCTCGATTCTTTCGATTTCATTGGTTTACTAGTAATAAACAATAGCACTGTAGCACTGTAGCACTATCCTCCCGTTGTTCATTGATTTGCTCGAGTGGGCACCAGTAACGTCTCCATTGTGAGACTTGTTACTGTTTTTGGCATATCGAATACGTCATGGGTAGCTTGCCAGGCTTTGTCATGCAGGTGGAATACTCTCGGTAGCTTGTCAGGCTCTCCGAGAGGGGCGGAGGAATCGAACCCGGGTCAGCAGCATGCAAGGTAAACGCCCTATCCACTATGCTATCGCTGCGGCCCATTGTGAACTACTTTATAAAAATAAAATAAATAATTTTTTTAAAAGACTGAGAAAGTATCTTCACTAATCACGTTGTGCAAAAACATTTGAAAAGACAAATCACTAATTGGAATCTCTTGAAACTATCTCTTGTAAGTTTATCTAACAACAAAATAATTCTCTGAGGACACAAAATTCATAGAAGTCAGAATTTAACATATAGAAGCAACCCAAAGTGCCTAACTACAAATGAATAAAGAACGAATAAAGAAGTTGTGGTGTATATACGATGAAACACTACTTGGCTATGAGAAAAGATGATGTCTTACATTCTGGAAAGAACTGGTATCATGTTGAGTGAAATAAGGCAGGAGAAAGACAAATACTCATTTATATGACGCATGTAGCATATAAAGTAACAAAGTGGGCTGGAGAAGTTAACTCAAAGTGATGGTATCTTAGTTTTACATGTGGAAAACTCAGGTTCAATTCCTGCTTCTGCATGGTCTCTTGGGCATCACTGAAAACAATTCCCAAGCAATAAATCATGAGTAGCTCCTAACAACAGTCAAAAACCCAGAAACAAACAAACAAAAAGAAACAAAATAAAAGAAACAAATAGAATTTTACACTTGCACATCTTATTTATAACTGGTCTGCCAGATCTGGGAATTACCTGCCTCTATCCTTTGAGAGTCATGATAGAGTGGAACAGGGAGAGAAAAAAAAATACTTCCACAGACAAGTAGAATTAAAGACAACATCCTTATATCCCCAAAGATCCTGCTATTTTTCAGATTTCTCCTGAGTACAGCAGCAAAGAGTTTTCTCCTTGCTGTTTAACATCTTGTGAAGCCAGAATTCCTCTTTCAATCAATGGTCATTTACAATTAATTGGCAACACTTTTAAGTATATAAAACAATGTGTATATTAATATCTTTGGCATTATAACTTTCAAAATCTAAAGCTATTTGTTTTTTCTGGTGGTGGGGAGGTCACCCCCAGCAGGTGCTCAGAGCTTACTCCTGGCTCTGCCCCGAGGGATCACTCTTGGCAGTGCTGGGAGACAATGGGGGATGGTTGAGGATCAAACTCAGGCTGGCTGTGTTCAAGGCAAGTGCCCTATACACCATCCCCTTAACTTTCAAAATCTAATATATAATATACATATTATATACATACCCTATATATCTCTATATTTTAAAATGAAATCACTGTCTTGTAAAATGATTTTTTTCAGATAATTTTTTTTCCTTATATGTTTTCATTTCACTGGAAACCAGATCATATAAGTTGTCTCCAATTGGTCACTTTTGTATCTAAATATTGTTTGCCCAACCCAACATCCACTCCACAATTGTCTACTCTCTTGGTATTATGCCCTTTTGCACTGAATTCTCTACCTAAAGAATAACTTGTAGAAGACGGTAAACTCATCCCTCCAGAATTCATCCCAATATTTTGAACTATAATTCATTAGATGATTACAAAATGGTACAATGATATAGGAAATCTATTCTTTTTGCAAAATATCAACCTCAGGAAGAATTTCAGTTCAATTCCTCTTCAACTTTGTGATGAACAGTCTTTTCATGTGTAGATTGGAT